CAAAACACTATTTCACGTGCCTTCTAACAAAGAAAGAGTAGTGAATACCTCGATTTGGCGCTGATCTGTTGTAATCTACATATCTTTTCAGAATTGACCCCTCTACACTCTAAATAGAAGCTACTACATTACACCAAAGAACAGATGAAACAATGTGATGTGGTAGCAGGTGTTGGGGGAGGGGGACGGAGGGTTTATTTATTTCCCTCTTAGCCTTCTAATGCTTTATTCTTCTTTTATATCCATCCACAGAAGAGGAATACCACTGTCTATTCATTAACTATCTGAGTTTCCTAGGCACTATTAGGGCAGGCTTTCCTGACACCACCGCAAAGCTATTAAGAGACTGCGAAATACTGAACCGCATTGAGGATTTTAAAGTCTATTCAGATACAAAGTTTGAAGCTTGCAATGTCTTAAAACACAACTAAAAATGCCGAATCATTACCTTAAAGGTTCCTGGAATTAGCGATCCCCCTGCAAATAAGTCAAAAAATTCGTAAATAATCTCGATGCAGAAGTATATTTAGATGGAACACTTCTAATCTCTGCAGAGCAGGCAGCTTCTTAACTGCCACCTTCGACGTTTTTGGCAAGTGTGGCTTTGGCGTATGAACAGAAGCTCAACACGCATACCATCAGTTTGAGAGGCCACGTTCTAGAGAAGGGATTTTATCTTTAATGATATAATCTGGAAAAATATGCAAGAGAGGATAATAATGAAGAGCATTCTGCCGCATTTGACTTGACAGCGTCAATGTGTGGCATCCGCAAACTGAATGCAGCTGAAGATGACCCACTGCCGGCATAGTCTTTGAACCATGTGTGTCGTCTTTCCCACTCAAAGCCTTCGACAAGGGTTTTCCTCGAAGGAGTTGGACAGAGGCACACGTATTCTGGCTGAACGAAAGGCGTTCCGCAGTCCCCTGTGCGTGACGGGCTTTGTGCACAATTTTCTGCACAAGTGTACTCTTAAATTCCCTTTATTTTATTTTCATGGAAAAAAAGGACAAAATTTGGCTGACAAGGTAGCTGCTATTTGGCCATCCATCAGATCTGTGGGATGGAATGCCGTTCGACTAAGATGATCGTAGCTACCTTAGTGTAATAAAATATGTGAACAAAGTGTTTAACCAAATAACAAAAAACGCATCTGTTCACAATGGAAAGGGTGATGGAACACAGGTGAAGACCTGATTTCATGTACTGGAACTTGCGCTGAGAGATAAGACGGAGGTAGAAGCGAAGGCGAGCGGTAAGGCAATAAAATTTACATCCAAATGACTTCATTTTATAGCCTAGAATCAACAGCTATGAAGACCTGATCATTTATTGACACGGATCGTTAGTGGCTCGCTAAGGGTAAATTTCAAATGAGACTGGGGAGAACTTGCTCGAATGTTTTGGCGGCTTCAATTCCAGCATTTTAAAATGCGTCGGTTAGTCGTTCTGTCATGTGATGCCTTCCAAAGTTAAATATAGATATATAATTGCTGATTTAAAAAGACCTAATAAAATTTTCCCATTTTTCATTAATGTCGATTTTTTTGTTTTTCTTCTTGAGTTTGACAAATTGTGCGGCCGATTTAGTAATTACTTGTTAATTGCAACGTTTTTAGAGCCCGATTTAATCTTTTTCATTAGGTGCATGGAGTATGTACCGAAAATAAATTTCCTGTGCATTAAGGTCTAAAATTTGAACCCACGGACACCTTTATCCAGTGGGGACTTAAAGTTTAGCGGCACCGCGATGAGCTGCTAAACCAATCGTCAGTAGGACAGTTAAAGAGTTTCAATGTCTCAGACGCTGCCATGCATCTATCTGCGACAGTTCCGGCTGTGGTGATTCCACTCCCAGCCCACCGCATATCAGCCATCCCTGCGAACCTTCTGGCGAGGCGTCGAATATTTGACCCTAGACACCTGATCGTCCCACATTTGAATAGATTTTTAATGAGAATGATAAATAAACTCGCAAATTTCGAAAATTAAGGTGGTTTAGTTGTCCTGATGAGCTTTAGTTTAATGCTCGATTGCGAGTAAGAAGGTATTGGAAGACTACGGGTAGACGAAAATGTAGTTTGCGCTTTCTGTAACTCCCTCTACCAAAATCCAACATTCCCGGTTTGAATTGAACGTCAGTTGCATCAGAAGATTTCGGTTCCCTCAAAGACATGTAAACGCATCACCGTTATTTTTATACCAAACTTAAAAAAAATACATTTGAAAGTTACATCCTGTGGATGATTTTACTCCCCTCATAATGTGTGCTTCTATTTGCCGCGTTTTCATGCAACCTGAATGACCTGGATTTTATTTCCAGCCATGAATGCAGGTATTTTTCAACGAATTTACCGCTATGCAACTGTTCTTTCTAAGCAGTATTTCCTTCACAATGAAAATTTTTTAAGGGTTTCACTTATTAACGTCTCACTGTGTTCTTGTCGTCGTCATGCCTGATTGCCATTAAACGAGGGCGTTAACATGGGAAGCACATGTCCCGTTCCCCAAAGTAACTTATGGCCCCTTGCGGGTAATTTTCTTAGACTATGCTCCCTTAATTATGTTGTATAAAATTCCCTTCATGTACGACAAATTTTTGGATCATTCATGGAAATTAGGAGCTTGATAAGATGTTCCATTCCTTAAACTACGCACTGGGCAGGCAAAGATAGCGGACCACGAAAGGTTTGGCCCCCATCCCACAACATTATTTAGGCAAAAGCGTGTCTCCTGGAATGTCGTATCATTATTTGGACACCTCTAAAACATTTTGTGTACCGCTTTAATATTTGCTTGTTCGACTAGGTAAAGCGTAATACTTTGATTATTTGGCCAAATATTCCTTTTGACAAAGAAGGCACTTAAGGCCCCGCCTTTGTACTGCCGTTGGCCTCAGCCCCTCTGTACGTTGACAGAGATAACTCTAGGCGCTACATTGGTGGCAGTGAAAAATTGAACCCATCATAAAGACCAACTACCCGGCCTTCCATTCCTGATGCCTAGACCTTGACGTGACGGAAGAAGGGCTTCTGCTGCGAATGGGAGACTCTGTAAGGACCCCTGGTACAAGGGTTGATAATGAATTCTACCTTTCACAAACAACCCAGTCTTTTGTTCTGCGTGAATGCCATTAATATTTGAAGCGTTGCTAGCCGTGAACTAGCTAGAAGAGTTCTCTACCATACTAGCTACCGTGCTTGCATGAAGGTGTCAACTAAGTGAACCCGCAATTCCACCTTCACCTTTCTATTAGTTGGGTAGATATGGTTGGGCACCATTGAAGTGAGAACAAAGTGAGAAGGAGAAATAAACGAGAAAATATAACCTAAAGAAAAGTATTAAACCTAGTTCTTTTTTAAATGACCTGCACGGACCAATTTCCCCAATTCAAGAAGAAAAATCCAGATCTAGTAAAAATACTAAGAGAAATAATTCACGTTATGGTCAAATATCTCGTTTGCACTCAGCTTTGACGATTTGCGGAATTAACCTGGAACAGTTTTCTTACAGCACCAGTCACTTTGGGATAGCAGACGCGGGATGTTGACTAAAGGGAGCGCCAGAGACGTCGTGCAAAAGGAGAAAGGGGGTATGTAATGCTTTGATTATTTGTTTAACTCTTCCTTTTTAGTTTTGCGGGTGACTAAGACTCTGTCTTTGTGCTTTCATTAGGAAGCATAACCTCCAGGCCATACCAGCAGCCCCCCAGCCCTTCTCTACGTCGGCAGTACTGGTTCTGTCTTAGTATTACAATTTCTTTCATCTTCAGGAGTGACTTAGGGCGCTGCAAAAATACTGGACGAGCCACTAATTACAGAGTGTTAATATTTTTTTGAGCCTTCTGGTTATCCATGAGGACTTTGAATGATAAACAATGATCCGAAGGACTGGCCTCATAGTCAGAGGTGTGGCACAGTAATAAGTCCGTGTAGTACGATTTTAAATTAAAAAGAAAACCTTAAGATCCTGCGAAATTCTTGTCTCGGCTTAAGTGCTCTAAAATAGTTTATTTTTTTACTGATAATCCTGTAGAATCAGTATATACGCGACTGTCACAGGAAAGATATCGCAGCACCCATTGTGCTCCTGAAGACTTTATGTGGGTATGAAGGAAGCTTTGGTTTCAATGGTTTTATGAGTAAAGGCACTAGTAGTGTAACTAGGTGTTATCTACCCTAACTGTAATTAAATCTGTGAACAATCTGAGTATTCACGGATTTTGTTTAACATTTAGGTTACATGACGTCCCTTTCATTGTTGATGAGATTCCCTTCTCGGAGCGGATTTTGACCCCACAATAGCACACATAGCATAAGTAGCGATTCCCTTTGACTCTGAGCGACGTCCTTAGTCCTCCTTGAGATCACTGCTTCGTATCCGGCATCACAATATCTACCTCCACCTCCAAAAAACAAAAGTTAAAATTTGTCGACTAGATTAGCACCTCAGCCTATCCTGGAGATTCAATAGGGTGTAACGGTCTAAAAGCAGGTTCATCATAGGCGTACAAAAGGACTGAAAAAAATTGTGCTGTGTGAAAATTATTAACAGCATATGCTGTTTATTTACCTTTTGCTTTTAATTTTTCTACTGTCATCTGATTCTTCGTTGCGGCTGTTACTGAGCGGCACCCACACAACCGCCACTGTTTTCGCTTTGGGGCGGAATGCGCTTGCTTCGCTGCCATTACGTTTATTGCCATTTCCTGCGGCTGCTTACACGGCTAATTAAGAAAAATACGCCATCTCGAATAAAACTGGTTCCCTGCTTGAAATCCTTTGGTGGTCAAGTCTGTATCTTGCCCTCAAGTGCACCGGAGCTGGGTGGGATCAAGCTGTCGCTACTGAACTTTATAACCGGTTAGCAGTCTAGGTAGCATGATAGGGTTGCCATGACACCAGTGCAGTATTAAAACAGCGAAAAGTGAAGACTCTACATAGTTGGATTCACGAAAGAAAAAAACACTAAGAAAACTCTTTGCATTGATGTGAAGTAATCTTATGAGGGAAAAATTATGGGTATTAGGCTAAGAGTATGACCTTGGAGGCCTAAAAGAATCAGCGCTCCATGCAAGGATTCAGACAGAGTGGTTTAAAATTGCATGAGCTTCTTTAGCCAACAATGACGAGGTAAAATTTTCTTTACTACAAAATGGGAAATAACTTTTAGTCAGGAGAAAACACTGCCAATCAAGCCAAGGAAGAAGACAGATTTTTGTCACCAATGTCACTGTTATCAGTATATGACAGCAGGCTTCGTTTTAAAATTGGAGTTAGACGCTGATTATACACAATTTACTTTTGCAGTCGTAAATACCGAAAATAGAAGACATTTAAACAGGCCTTGGGAGTATGATGCTCATCAATTCGACCACTTGTTTTAGATTTTGGGTAATTCCACTTTTCCCTGGAGCACCTATCTCCAAAGAATGCGTCTTTTAGCTTAAGCTGGGTACGTTCTGCAACTCTACTGATTATTTTACAATCCAAAAGTATTTGAAAACAAAAGTTGTAGAAATCTGGATTCACATGGTCATTTTTTGTATAAGTGAATTAAATGGAAAACTACGTCAGTGGTTGTCAGTTGAGTGAACCATTTTCGCCCTAAAACCATATTTGAGGCTTTTGCTGCATCCTAAAAGATATTAAAAGGGAACAATCTGCATCTTCCTGCAAATGGATCAAAAAACGTTTCCCAAATGCCACTGATTTAAGTAAAATTACCATACGGTGTATGATATGTTTATTTCAACAGACATTTTAGGCGAGAGGAAATCAGAGAACACGAACTCCGTCGTGGAACGGACGTCATTGACCTACAAGGAGGAAGTCTACTTCTGACAAGCATGCCCATAGCACTGTACCCCAATTATGACGCCCACTCTTTCCAAGGGAACGAAGGCCGAGGTGGAAGAGGCAAACACCAAACCGATCGCACCACTATACCATCTCAAAAATTTGAAAGAAGTACCGAAAAGTGGAAAAAAAGAGTGCGAAATATCAAAAAATTGTGAATTTGAAAGGACTGTCTTGATTGAATTAGGAAAATCAATAAGTGCTAGTGACAGACCTAAAATTGGAGACCTAACGATCCGAATAATCGATAAATGTGAGTCATTGGCTGTAAAAAGATTGGGAAGTTTTTTGTGAATTTCTTTTAGGCGTACAACTAAAACAAATAGCTTCTAATAAATTCTTTTAAAAGCAAAGTTTGATAATAAATTTTTAAAACAAATTTTGATTAGAATTTGGTCATTCATTAAAACTAGTCAAGTTTTCTTTTACTACGTAGTGCAAATCATGAAATTATTCCTATAAAATCAATTCTTCGAATGGTCTATTCAGTGGGTTTTCCATTGAATTTACTTAAACAAAATAACGGTTAAAATACTTTATGCTGGAAAGCGGACAATTGAATAAGCACGCCTAAGTCGCCTAGAGATTGCTCGTGGTGGTCGCAATTCGGCTCATTGCTTAAGCAGCAAGCATCCAGATAGACGAACCAACATAAGTAGGAACCAAGTGTAGTGGTTTGTTGAGGCCCCGCTTCACCTGTGACGGCTGTAATTTTGGCCAGTGGAATGATCTCGACTAATGAACTAGCGTTCCCAGCAAGAAGTGCCCTTTATGTCAATTTTTTGAAGGATGGCGTAGCCGGGAGGGGAATCTAAATGTCAAATCAAGTGGGAATCATGTGATTCTTCATTCAATCTTTTTTTTATTGCCTGTTACAGAGAGTTGTGAGTAACAAAAGCGACTTTATTCGTTATACTGAGCAGGGGCATGAGTAAGCTACTATGGTCTTCTTCTGCTTGGTCAAATAGACACTACATCCATTTAGCCAGCAAAGATTTTGATCAGCTGTTCACATTATCATCTCCGGAGGTCAATGATGCGGTCCTATGCCAAAA